GTTTTTCTTCCGTAATCAGAGGCGAACACGAATGCTCCCCCATCACAGTCTACCGACCCAACCTTTACTCACCGGACAATAATGGAGAACCTGACCTGCGCCGGGTTGCCGCCGCGGCTAGCTCCGCGTGCTCTTTCTCGTATCTCCTCCCTGCTCCCCTGTACCTGGTCTATCTACTTTTGAACTTGGTAGCACTCCAGTGGTCTCTTGGACTACAATCTCCAGCTGGCTTCTTGACCGGTTCTCTACTCTGTAGGTTCTGTCTCGTTGATCAACTTGATCTCCCCGTTCTATGTCATCACGTATGAGATAGTCTGTTAATCGGCAAATATACTAACTTGTGTTAGGCGAAAAATGGTGTCTTATGCAACCTTCGGGAGAAGACAAAAGTTACCAATCTCTTTCCACCGAATGAATCCCCGATGACTATAGTCACTCGCTATATTACTGCTATAATAATATCACAAAAAACCCCACCCGTCTACCGTCACTCTTACCTTCCTACCCCCCCTCCACCCTTACTCTATACACTATATACTATACTTAGCTATATATACCTTACGAACATTTCTTAAAAAAAATACTCTAAAGGGAGACTCTATATAGTTCCCTCTATTGCCTATAGCCTCTTTAGACAAACTTCATTCCCCCTTAGCCGCACAAATATCTTCTAAGCCCCACATCGTTTCCTGTACGAGTAGTTTTCTCTTAGAAAAACTCTTTTAGCAGTTTCCGCCCGTCCTGAACGAGTCTACTTTTGAACAACCCGCCCTTTCATTTTCCTAAAAGAGTTTCTATAGGAATTGTACTTAGAGATTGCCTAGCGTTATTCTATAGACATTTTTTCTTATAGATTCTTATAAAAATACAGATTCCCTTTAAAGAAACTCCCTCTATTTATTTTTCTATTCAATGTTTACCCAGGAAAAACTTTTAGAAAATCTTTTAGGTTTCTGTATTTAGAGGTTTCTTTAGAGGAACCAAGCTTTTTAGAGTTTTGTTTCTGAAGGTTTCTTAGAGAAAACTTTATATATTTTATTAAGAAGTTTTCTATAGGATTTGTATAGAATTACTATAGAGTTTTCCATATAGACAAATATTTATATATGTATAGTATATATATACTATATATATTATATATATATATATAGTGATGATTATATATATTATATAATATATATATTAGTATACTATTTATTATATATTTATATATTTAATATTTTTCATTTACATTTATATTACTATATTATAATATATATCATATTATATATCTATATATATATAATATTTACTCCTTATATACTAGATACTATATAATAATATAAATTACCCTCCTACTTATTAAACACGTATTGATCCCTCCCCCCGCATCACCCCCCCCAAAAATAAAAAAAATAAATAAATAAAAACAGTGATATATAATAAATAACTTAAGGTATATTTACTTATATTATATATGCATATTACTATACATTCAAAATGTTCTCTTCAAATATATTTTTTCTTAAAAAAAAAATTAAAAATAAATAATAATAAAAATAAAATACTTAAAGGTATATTTCACTTCATATTACATATCAATTAAACATTTCAATAATTTGCTATACTACTCAAAAATGTTAATAATCATTAAAAATAAATAAAATTAAAATTAAAATCTACGTTTTTCATTACTATTACTGATAACATCAAAATGTACTTATCAGAAATTTATTAAGTTTAATAATAAAAAAAAATAAAAAATAAATAAAAAAAAAAAATAAATAAAAAATAAAGTATTACTGTGACTTACACACGTTGTACATTATCCTGGCCATCAGCGGTTGTTAGTCACTGCGCTCAATTAAAGGGAAAGTGACGTTTCTATTATTACACACTGTAAATAGGAGTTTATTCCACAATTCAATGACTTATTCTATTACGGTATTATATTCTAGGTGACACATTATATATATATGATACTATATACTTATTATAACCATGTACGTTACACGTTCATGTTTCGAGTTATTAGCTATACATTGGTGAGAATGATGATATAAGGTTTAAAGTACAGTGTTAGGAGAGATAGATACAAGGAGATGACGAGAAAACAAACACTAAGAACACAAGATGAGTAAATGGATGCTTCAGCTCAAAAGTGATGGAGACGGAAAGAATCAAACACGAAGGACACTAAGTAATGAGAGGTGCCGTTGCTCAAAGAAAGAGCAGAAAGAGAAGATATAAATAATATAATGATTTGAATTTGTGTGCAAACGATAAAACACGGTTAAAAGCTTAGCAATCAAAATAAGAGTGAAGGAGACAGAAAAAGGCACACGCGCACACAAGAAAGGAAAAAAGAGACAAACAACAAAAACACAAAACCTCTAAAGGTGTTGTCTTACAAAAACAAAGAAAAAACAAACAAACAAAACAAACTTACAATCACGAAAACGTAAAAAAAAAAAAAAAAAAGAAAAAAAATCCTTCTTCTTTTACCCTACAAAAACTGCCGTGAAGACCCGGAAATTTCAGGGTTGCACAACACGGCTTAATTGGACTTTGCAACTAATATGGCGCTCCTGACCCTTACCAGGTACTCAGCCCTCCACACGCTGGCCATGATAAGCCCATGCCAGCGAGGCTCGAAGATTCGTGGGAAAATCAAATGAGACGAATAGGCACTGGTATAATATTTAAGGTTTGTGTGTGGAGCATCATGCAAACTCACACCACACACACAGTACACTCACTCACTCACTCACACACACCACTCACTCACTCGGACTCACCACACACACAAACACAACACTCACACTCACTCACACTCATCTACACACTCACACACACACACAACACACACACACACACACTCACTCACTCACTCACTCACACACACACACACATCACACTACACACATCACACTCACTCACTCACCACACACAGCACACACTCATAGCCATACCACTCACACTCACTCACACACACCAACACAACCCACACACAACACACAACACACACACACACACACACCACACACACACACCACACACACACACACTCACCACACACTCACACACACACACACTCACTCACTCACTCACACACACTCACCACACTCATCACTCACTCACCCCACCACGCCACCCACCCACCCACACACACACACACACACACACACACACACACACACACACACACACACACACCACACACACACACACTCACTCACTCACACACACACACACACACACACACTGCACACCCACCCACCCAACCCACCCACACACACACACACACACACACACACACACACACACACACACACACACATATGAATGAACTTTAAGAAAAGACATAAACACAGTCTTTTAACTCTCAATATGGAAGCTAAGATATATTGTTGGCAAAGTGGGTACTTACATAAGCGAATGTATGTATGATGAATCGAAGTCTAAAAGCTTTTATTTTTTTTATTCATTTTTTTTTTTTTTAACAAATGGCGAAACTAAACCTCCACATAAAGGCCTGTTTGACTCAAAACCTTCAAGAGCCAATTTCCTTTCAGTTTACCGTCTCGAGTGCCAATAAAGGTACATAACTGGCTTCCCGGAATTACGTTGTAGGACGCAATATAAGATGTAACAGTTACCATTACGAGAATAAAGGTTATTCGTGAATCTTCAGTCAGTAAATCATATACTACTTACGCTTCAACGTCATCAATAATCATATGAGTGTCTATGTATACCAGTTGTTATATATATACATATATATATAATATATGTATATATATATATAATATTTATATATATATTATATAATATATATATATATATAAATATATAGTATATAGTGATTGTGTGTGTTGTGTGTGTGTGTGTGTGTGTGTGTGGTGTGTGTGTGATGGGTGATGAGTGATATATATAGTGATGATATAGTATATATATATATTGTATATATATATTATATATAGAATATATATATAGGGGTACACAGTATAGGTTATGACATTACACACACACACAGCGAACCAAGAGCAGCACACAACAGCACACGACAGCACCACACACGTACACACAGCACACGACACAGAGCAGTATATATGTTTAGTTTTGGTATAGGTATATATTGTAATATTAGTATGGAGTTATTAGTATTATATAGGTAATAGTGAGTGAGTGATTGAGTATATTATTGTAGCGTATGAGCATACGAGCATGTGTGGTGTATGTGGTGGTGATGTCTGTGGTATATAGTATATATAGTGATAGGGTATATATAGTGCTTATAGGGTGAGGGAGTATAGTATATAGGTGGGTGGTATATAGTGGTAAGTATAATATATAGACAGGTGTACACGGCGTGTGTGTTGGTTTTATGCGTTCCTGGTGGTTTGTCACAGGAAACATCTGCATATCAGTGTGAGAGGATCATCAATCGATGAAACCATATCGTTAAGCGAGGTAAAAGATGCAGAGCGACAGGTATCGTTCCCATAACCTCAATAATGACAGACATCATTGAGGTATGGCGAGGTTAATAGGGATATCACAAATATCGCTGCATCACTGTGGAGAGTAGTAGCTTGAAAGATCCCATTTCGCCCGGCCCCCTTTCTTCTGTCATTGTCCCCTTGAATATTATCGATTTTTTTTTCATGAACTAGGAATCGTACATGGGATAGCATGATGTTAATGTTTTTGCAGTCATCTGTTTGTAGACATCCATGCAAGGGTGGCTTAAAGTGTATGGAGTGTCGCGAGTCGCATGGGTCGTGATTGAAATGTGGCGTTCGGGATGTTCACGTTAATGAAATATACTACGTTGAGGAGCGTCAACCTGGACCGATTAAACGCTAGAGGAATGATTTTTTTTTGTTCGAGTCCGGAGTTTGTGCGGTCGGCTGCCATGCCCGCGTTTGCGGGTCCAGATGTCTTCTCCTGCTCGTGTGGTGGTGTGCCCTAAGAGTACGGAGAAAGGGATAGGAGGGTCTGTAGGGACCAGAGGACGC